TTTCCCAACCATGAGATGGAACTGCCCCGTAACATGGGCGCAACAGTAAAGCAGCAACAAAAAAAAAACAAGCGAATTGCATTTTGTTTTTCAACTCTTTTCTGTTCCTTCTCTTTTTTAACTAGCTAAGCAACTTTTGAGGAAAGCACTGTACGCCTGATTGGGGCTGCTTGGTTTTTCCAACAAAAGTGCCCCAATGGTGCAACCCAGACGCGGCGTCGAAGCTCTGCTTCCTCGTGTACCAAGACGTGCTGATTTGTTCCTGATGCCTTGCGGGGCCAATTTGTTCTTTTTTTTGTTGTTTTGCTTTTTGGTATTGTCTTACGTCAGCCCTACGCTGCAGTATTCATGGAGTAATTACTGGGTGCTCTGCCTTTTTTTTTTCATTCTCGCACTGTGCTGCTAAAGGCTTTTTGTGCATTGTGCTAAGTGGAGAGTGTCATAGTGGAGGGTGAAGAAAACGGACGTGATCGGTTTTTTGTAGAGGGTAACTTACTTACCTACTGGTTGATTCCTTCCAGAGCCATGGCGGCAGAGATGGATCCGATGCTGCAGGGCACTTACCTGCATGATGATGCCAAGGACTTCATACCGACTTCAGAGGCGCTAGATCAATTTGATGCTCAGTTGGTACGAGGGGAGCCCGTGCACAGTGAACTTTCTTCGAAGAGGCATCTGCCGCAGGCCTGTGGCGCCCCTTCTTTGCCTCATCTTCGTAGGCCCCACGCATCGCACCAGCAATATCCACTGCAGCAGCAGTTGTATCAACAGAATCGCAATGGGAGAAAGAGTAGTGACGGTCCTTCTCGGGCACACGAAGGATTGACTGTCGACGCGCAGGAGCGCCTGGAAGATATTGAGGCGGTTCGTCAATTGGGCAACGACATGGTTGGGGACGACGATTAGTCCCCTGTTGTATATATATATGTGTATACAAAGTAGCAGCACACCGTTTTTTTGTGTTTTTTTTTTGCAACTGACATAGTTGTCTGTGGCGAGCCTTGAGGTATTAGATGCGCTAGGGCAGACATTTTTTTTCTTCATGAGGTGTCGCTCTGCTGGAAGTCTTCTTTGGTGGGGTTCGGATTTAGCCAGACATTTGATAATTTGATAGTGGGAAGCATATAGATCTACTTGCACAAATACATGCATTATATTTGCTTGTGACCCATTCTAGTGTTTGGATATCCCATCCTCACCTCTTTTTCTAATGGCTGCTTCTTTTTTGTTTCTTTGCACTCACTCCCTGTGTTTTAGTTTCCCTCGTGTTTCCTCTTTTCTTCCGGTGTTGCGGTGCGTCGTTGCAAAAAAAAAAAAAGCTGCGGGGAACGCCGCCTGCCGCTTTCGTACGCATGCATTCAAATATTGCCTGGCCGGGATGGGGCACGCCCGTCCTATAGGTGGCCCTTCTGCGGCTTCCGATGCGCTTTGTCTGCTGCGAGCCGAGCTATTGGAGGTCGCTCACGAGCGCAAAGTTGCCGTGTTAGCGTTGGAGCGGCAGCGTCTGCTTTTCTTTCAGAACGCTTGCGAGGCGCAACTTCTTGTAGCATGTCCGGAAAGGGAAGAGCTCTTCTGGCAGATTTGGTGGAAGAAGAAGCTACCTCTTCACCAGGCCAAACTTTTTACCCGAGCGGTCCCTCAACGGCTAATTCTTGAGGCGGAGCGAGTGAGTCACGCAAAGGGCGCCGTGTCACAACTACTGCGCTGCTCGCCTCATTTACAGCTGTATCTGGAGCGAGGTAAAGGTGCCCCCGGAGGAGTCCACGGACGTGGGCGTGAGTGTCACTGCTTCTCCTCTCAATGCTGGGGCGGAGCTGCAGTGTTGCCTTGCCCTTTGCGATGCTAAGGACAAGGACGATACTGATGCTGGCCTGTGCCAGCAGGTGCGCAATGACCATCTAATTCAAGGCATTCAAAGCGTGCCATTTGTCCTGACGTACGTTGGTGGGAACGCGGGGCTTGCTGAGGGAAGCACCACACTTGGGTACCCTGAGACTGCGACGGATGGCGGTGCGGCGCACACGATATCGTTTCCTTGCGTGGTGCTTGACCGTGCTGAGGCAAATTCGCTTCACACCCTTCTTGTCACTCACCCTCGCACGCAATATGGCGTCATTCCACCATTGTAATTGGCTCTGCTGGCCTTGGCGCCGCCCACCATTGCCATTAAGGAGGTGTCCGTCACGGACACGTTCGCACGCGTGAGGCCTTCTCCCAGCTTTGAAGGACAAGAGGAGTTTCCTCAACTTGACGAGGAGGAACTGCATGTGTGCGTGGACGTATGCACAGACGAAATTGTCACACAAGTGGTGTTTAAATTTCTAGAGAAGGGCCTGCAAGGGCGAGCGCACCGCGTGGGAAGTAAGAACTTGGATGCGGAGGATGGCGCGAGGCACTTTATGGGTGAGGCACACTGGAGCTTCCATAGTTGTGTGCCGATTGCGGCGAGGAGTGCGCATGAGGCGGTAGCCCTGTTGATATTCTTGGCAGGAGTGATAGTGGAGTCCATGCCGCAGCACGTATTCCGAGGATGCATTGAGGTAGTCTCCGTTCCGGCCGCAGAGGGCCCGCACGTCGTTAACCACACCGCCGCATCCCGCAGGAATTTCACTAGCACAGGTTCCCAAGAGTTTCTCCTTGCTGCCAGTGCTGTGGAATTCAAAGTCATGGCAAACTATGACGATGCCCTTGAGTCTTGCAGGAGCGGCGGGAAGTAAACATGAAGGGTGGCTGACAACAGTGCCTTGTGTGTCAAGGGCCTTCTTGTCGGGTGACATGCACCAAGTTTGGGGGAAGGACGAGGGCACTGCTAGAGGCCGACAACCTTGTTGCCGCATGTAACGGGACTTCGGCGGGGGAGGAAGAAGCTGCGTCGCTTGTTGTGTTTGCGCAGCGGCAGCGACGGGAGCGAAGTCGTCTTTGCGGTCGCAACCGGTCCCCTGGGGACAACTTTTCCGATGCTGCTGCCATTCGAACGGCAATGTTGTTTGCCTATCGCGCGGGACGCGGCATATTTCATGTTTGAGGCCCCTTGGCTCCCACTTTCTTTTCTTCTTCATTGCCTTTCTTTGGCTTCTCGGGGAGGTTGACGCCAGAGTCTCTGTCACGCGTCTCCTCCCGCACGGTGCGGCATCTGCGGATCAGAACGGTCTCGAAGCGGTTTCCATTTTTGGGTTGGATCCAACTTGGGGCTGCGTGGGGACTGCGTGCAGTGCAGAGAGCTAAGGCCACGATGGCTGGTGGGACAGGGAAGGATCCCCGGTGTCACGGCGACGAAGTGGCGTCTCGAGTGAGGAAGCATACATCTATATATGTGCTCACACACACACACACAGAGAGAGAGAGAGAGAGAGCATGTGCGTGTTTATTTTTATTTTTTTGTTTTTTGCTGTTTTGTTCTTTACTGCAATTCTGTACGTGACGGGTGTTCGTCTTCTTTACCCTCCGTTTTTTTTTGTCATCATCGTCTTTTTCTTCCTCCCGTTGAAGACGCAACTTCTTGCGCCATCGTCGCCGCTTCCGATATTCATGTGTTAGGTGATGAATGACATCAGTCAGGTGGTGAAGAACTACTACGCAGTAATTGGTCAAAAGGATGAAGACATTTTTGAGCTCTACCGTGACAACAAACGCCTGCAGAAGCAGCTGGAGGAGGTGCTCATGGGTGAGGAGGAGCGCGAGACAGACCGACGGACACTGAAGCTTTTGGTATTCACGCTGCAGACCGAGCTACGGGAAAAGCAAATGCTTATTGACGCCCAGCAACAGGAAAGCGCTGCCATTCGCGACGCCGTCTGGCGCGTGCGTGAGGTTCTCAATATGTCCTCTGAGTTAGACTACCCCGTTGGGGCTGTCATCGATGCCTGTATTAACCTGCACACGGAGTGCGGCGAGTTGCGGGCGCGGCTGGAGTACATAGTTGGCGTGTGGAGGCACTCAAGGTCGCTGGCTTTTCCCACACTGTTTTGGGCGGAACAGTACGCCCGTGACGCCATTTCGGACGCCTGTAACGGTGCCTACGCCTCCTTGGCACGCCTCCTGCGATGTGCAAAGCAGGCTCTAGTTGAGAAGCAGCAGCTCCGCGAGTCCCACAGAGCCGCGGAGAATGCGCAGGGCCAGAGAATGGAATTGATGGAAAAACAATCGCAGGTGGAGCGCTCACAACAGGAGCGTGCTGTGGAGGAGTGGAAGGAGCAAGTGACGTGCGCCAATGGACACCTGCTGCTGCTTCGGAGCTGCCTGCGCCACGAGCAGGAGGAGAAGGAATTGCTCATGGAGGCGGCGTGTACCCGGCTGGACTTGATGGTGGAACGAAGCGCCGATGTGGAGCGTCTGTTGGCATTGGCGTTTAGAGCCGTCGTCCGTCGTGACAAACAATTACAGGAGGTGCGGCACGAGGCGGCGGCGTTGCGTGGGAAGTTGCAGAAGTTGCAGGCTGACTTTTCCCGCGCAAGAGCCCTGCTGCGGCGGAAGCCGCTATCAGACCCTCCCCAACATCACCACCACCACCACCAGCAGCAGCAGCAGCAGGGACTAGACAGCAGTGGTTGTAGCAATCCCATGACGCGGGACAATGGCGAGAAGGAGAAGGGTGGCACCGTGCAGGATGCCTTCCGTGCACTGCTGGTGGAGCACGAGGCGCTCAAGGCGGAATGGCGGGGATGCGTTGAGCGTGAGCGGGAAGCGCGACAGCAGGCAGCCACGAGGATCAATAAACTGAAGGCCGAGTGCTCCGCGCGCGAGACCGCAGTTGTGGCGTGCCAAGAACGTTGCGCCACACTTGAGAAGGCGTTGCGGCGTACGCGGCTAGAGGCAAAGCGTCATTTAAAGGAAGTGCATCACCTGCAGGAACGACATGCCGCGGCGAGTGGCGAAGCGAATCTCCACCTGGAACGAATTAAGGGTCTGGAAGAGATGAACCGTGCGCTCAGGGAGGAGAAGCTGACGCTCTCGTCACGCGTAGAGACTCTGCAGGAAAAGGCACGGGAAAAGGAGGAGGCGTTGAACTCTGCAGAGCGTAATTTCCGTGAGCGTCTCGCCGCGGTTGAAAGGCGACTGCAAACGGAGAAGGAGGGATTTCTCGGTGAGCTGAAGGAGTGGACGTCGGTGCTGGAGGAGGCGCGCAAAAAGCTCGCCGTCGCGGAGGGTGAGCGTGATCGCGAGCAGATGCTGCGTGGCATGTTGGTGGAGCAGCACCGAGATGAGGAACGGATGCTGAAGAAGGTTGCGGCAGAGGAGCATCAGGCGGCTGTAGCGGTGCTGCAGAGCAAAATAGATGTGCTTGAGCGTGCCTGCGAAAGAAGCGCCGCGGTGATTGCAGAACTTCGCGAGGCACTACACCGGGCCAAAGCAGAGACAGGCACTGCCTAGTCTGCGTGTCCACACGCTCCTGCTTACGACGCATGCCGGCATGCATCTCTTCCCCCTTCGCCGCGGCGGCCGTGCAGTGGGCGGGGACGGGGACGGGGTGCCGGAGCGCCGCTTTTTAACCCGTTCCTTTCCTCCCCCGCCCAGTTTGCTTTCTGGCTTCGGCGCACATCCCTCTTACCTCACCGCCCTCAGAAGTTCCTTTAGTGGCTGCTGAATAAAAAGAGAAACAAAAAGAAAAGAGGAGGAAGAAGAAGAAGAATAAAAAAACAAACAAACAAACAAACAAACGGGAATGGGAAACGAACTGTTGTTCTCTGTAGTTGTTTTTCCTCCGCCTTTCACTCTACCCCTATCTCCTGTTGCCACTTTGAATTCAATTTTTGCGTCTACTCTATCTTTTGTTAGGTGGAAAAACAGCGAGCTCAGTGTGTGTGTGTGTGTGTGTCTGTGAAAAGAGGGAGGGGACGAAGGCAGGGATAACCAAGTAGAGGAGAAGAGCAGGGATGGGCGAGGTAGAGCACATAGTGGAGCAGGAGGAAACTGACATCCAAGCAAATGTCTTGGCCATTCCAACCTTTGAGGCGATGGGGCTGAAGGAGGAGTTGCTGCGCGGCATGTACGGGTACGGCTACAAGAAACCCACCGCCATCCAGAAGCGGTTTATTGTGCCATTCACTCGCTCCCGAGATCTTGTGGCGCAGGCCTCCTCCGGCTCCGGTAAGACATCGGCGTTTTGTATTTGTCTTTTGCAGGTGTGCCAACCAACGCTGCGAGAAACGCAAGGGCTGGTGCTTAGCCCCACGCGAGAGCTGGCGCTGCAGACGCAGGATCTTTGCAACAACATTGGCCACCACATGGGCCTCGCCGCTTACGCCTCCATTGGAGGGAAGAGCATGGATGATGACATACGCAGGCTGGAGAGCGGGGTGCAGATTGTCTCTGGCACCCCGGGACGCGTGTTTGACATGATCAAGCGGCGTCACCTTCGCGTGAATCACCTCAAGACACTCGTGCTGGACGAGGCGGATGAGATGCTCGGCAAGGGGTTCAAGGCGCAGATTCATGACATCTACCGCATGATTCCTCCACTGCAGGTGGTGCTCGTCTCTGCGACGCTTCCGGTGGATGTGCTTGACATGACTGAAAAATTCATGACGGAGCCGGTGCGTATTCTCGTTAGGCGTGACGAAATTACGGTGGACTCCATCATGCAGTACTTTGTGGCAGTGGATGAGGAGAAGAACAAGTTTGAGACCCTTTGCGACCTCTACGACACCCTCACCATCGCCCACGCTGTCATCTTCTGCAACACCCGCAAGAAGGTGGAACAGTTGGCGAAGAAAATGACAAAGGAGAAGTTTTCTGTGAGTTGCATGCACGGCGACATGCCACAGGCTGAGCGAGATGAGATTATGCGGAACTTTCGTGAGGGTAAAAGCCGCGTCCTCATCTCAACAGACTTGTGGTCCCGCGGCATTGACGTGGAGCAGGTGTCACTTGTGCTGAACTACGATCTGCCCTTCTCCCGCGAGCAGTACATTCACCGTATTGGTCGCACAGGGCGCATGGGCCGCAAGGGCCTTGCGATTAGTTTTGTGAAGCATGACGAGCTGCGGCTGCTGCGGGACATTGAGCAATTCTACGCCACGCAGATTGAGGAGCTGCCCGCAAACATTGCGGACCAGTTCTAGGCATCGGTGCTGCTGGTGTATCCGCGGGGATGTGCGGCGACGGTCTCTTGCGCCGCAGTCGAAGCACTCACAAACACGCGCGTGACGGCAAAGCACAGGAATAAAATGGATGGGGAGAGAAGCGGGATAACAAATGAGGAGGTATGCAGTGGTGGGAGGGCCTGTATTCTTGTGTCACCCAACGTTGTTAGAGAAGAGGAGAAGAAGAGGCAGCGGCAGTGTGGGTGAGGGAGCTGGAGGAGAGAAACGAGGGGAAAAATGGCAAGGGCGGCGTAATGCGCATGCACCAGAGTACACTACGGACCGCCTGTGTCATTAGCCGGCGAAGCGCAGGAGGCAGGCGGTTGTTTAGCCAGTGCGTCTGCCTATCTCTCGCTTCTTCTTTGTGTGTGTGTGTGTGTGCGTGGCCGGACGCGCGTTTCCAGAGTTCTCTTTTTTTTCTTCTTCTTCTTTTTTACTTGACATCTCTCCCGCGCATACTTCTGCTTTCTGTACTCCTCTGTGAGTGTATTACATACATGCATACAACATCCATCCGTACCAATAACGTTATATATATATATATATATTTACATTTATATATCTGTACATCTATAGGTGTGTGTGTGTGTGTGACTGTCACACTTCTTCGGTTAACGAGAAATAACGAAGTTGCGGTGATAAAATAATATGCCAAACAGGGAGTAAAGAAAAAGGTGACAGAAAGAAGGAACAGCCGGCAGCCCTTCACTGGCGACGGATACATACATGTATGACTACAAGTGTGCTATTGTGTGTCCGGCGCGTGTGTACGTTATGGGAACAGGATGCCGGCCGCGTACTAAATTTATTGCAACCTATTTGAACAGACTGATTTTCCACCCTTTCTTGCTGTTGCTTTCTTCCTGTTCTTGTTGCTGTTTTTCCTTTGATGTTTCTTTTCCCCTGCCCCGTGTCTATGTGGTTCTTTCCCTGTGCAGACCCTAATCTACACGCACACTCCGTCGGTGAAGGAGTGGGTTGTGGGGAGGGGAGACGGCGGTGCGTGGGCGTGGATGAATCCCCCGCCGGGGCCAATTACACGGCGCCTGGGGGAGGCGGATGCGCTCCTCTTCGCCAGGGGAGCGTGGACGAAGGAGAGCAGCGTGCCTTCCTCCGATTCCTCTCCGGCCTTGAGAAGTGAGAGGGAGAGCAACTCCTGGACGGCGCGTTACTTGCACGCCAACGGCGGCAGACAACAACCACAGCCGGGGGAGACGGTGGGGAGTGACCCCTGCAGGGACCTCATCGGCGGCGCGGCCGAGATACGCCGGCGGGTGCACTGCGCAAATATCGTCACCGCCCGTCTACGTGTTTTTTCGCGGGGGATGCTGCTGCGACAGTCGTCGCAGCAGGAGGCGAACGTTGCCTCTCATGGGTGCGACGATGAAGGCAGCATGCTGCAGTCGAACCTGTGCCGCGAATTTGAAGCGGAGTTTGCTGCCGCGCTGGAGCTGATGCGTTCCTTGCGCTTCTTTGGAGCATTGACGGCGGAGGAGCGAGCGCACATCCCGGTCACGCGCGCCGCCTTCATCGCCTCACGGAAAAACATGGTGGACATTCAAATAAATCAACAATCACTGCTCTCACGACAGCTTTCTGTAGCGTGGGAACAGCACTATCGGCTCTGTAAGACTATGCTGCAGAAGGAACGCGACATACGAGAGTCACGCAAATCCACTTCTTTGCTTATTGGGCGCGATGAGGCGGAGACATCCTCGTTGTGGTCAAAAAGGGCTGATGATTTTGCACCACTTCTTCCCGCCCACAGCGGCGAGCACGGAGACGTCGCTGTCAAGAAACTGCAGGAACACATGAATGCATTGCGTGCCCTTTTGTGGGATATGCAGCGCATTCTGGCGACCCAGCAGCAAGCGTTGCAGCAGCTTGGAGGAGTTACACGGCGTCATGGCGTAGAGGATGCGAGAATTGCTGCAAAGCTTGGCCTTAGGCGACAGTGCGGCGGCAAACATGCTTCCTGCGGATGCTGCAGCATCATGTGAGGGCAAAGAGTAAACCACCAGCGGTCCTGCATTACGTGTGCACGTTCGCTGTTCTTCATCGATGACGCTGGCACGTGCTCCGAGTGCCTGACGAGTGAACCTGTTCGCGCCGCACGCGGAGCCAGTATTATTACTAGCATTTATTTGTTTCTGTGTGCGTGTGCTTCAGTAGATTTTTCCGTCCGTTTTATTTTGCTCCTCCTCCTCTCTGTCTCTCTCTTTTATTTGTTTTTGTTTTTAATTCCCCAGCGGGGCCTTCCCTCGTTGGGGGTCGTTTCCATTGTGTGCATTTTGCGTGTTCCCAGCCATTCCTTTCAAAGACATTATACATATATATACATATACATATGTATTCTTTGCTGGCGGTGGCCGCAGTTGTGGAGTGAAGCTGCTTTAATCGTTTCCACGGGGCAATAAACTACTGGGGAGTCGCGTCTGCCTCGATCTTCCTCCCTCGCATTCACGGCTCTCGAGGGAACTGCAGCAGAGCGACACGAGAAACCAACTCCGCAAAACATTAAAAGTGGGGGAAAAAAACACACACACAAAAAAAAAAGAATCCTGCCACTGGAACATACATGCAGGCGTTTATTTACTTCTGGAACACCTGGCTGCGGCGAAAGGAAACTTACTCGATGAGAGATGTGTGTGTCTGTGTGGTGGGGGGGGGTGCTTGTTCACTGTCTGTCTGTCCTCCCACCAGCCTTCCGGTTCTCGCTCGGCCCTCTTCGGGTGGCCTTTTTGTATTTCTCATTTTTCTTCTTGAACGCCCTCCTACGACGTGGGACATGCCGCGGAAGAGAGAAGAAATGGCGGCACTTTTGCGGGTAACTGCCGCAGTGGATCTTCTCCTGGACGATGGTGCGCTGGGGCCTGTGCGTGAGCAGCTTCCGGCTGTTGAGTTTGTCGTTCGTAACGCAAAGACGGCCGTGGCGTGGCCGCCGCCTATGGTATCGACATTTGAGGCGTCGCTGCTCCGTGGGCGGGAGGCGGAGGGGAGCGATGATGTGACGCTGGCTGCTGCGACGGAAGTGGAGCGCGTGATGGGCCCGTCCCTTCGCTTCTACGGCCCGCTTGGTGGGCGGCTCTCCAAGGAGTTCAGGGCTCTGCTTCGCGGCGGGCTCGTTCGCCTGCTGACGCGGCAGGCACTACAGCGGCTTTGCGACGCAGAGCGGCAGACACACGAGGACGACAACGACGACACGGACCAGTTTGGCACTAGCCGCGCTGTTGGCGCTGCTGATGATGGGTCGATGGCGCCATTCATTTCTATTAAAAAAGGACCTCTGAATACGACGGTGGCCTCTGTTCACTGGTCACCGCAGTTTCTGCAACGACTTCTTCACCACGCGGCTCTCAGATGCCCACAGTTCACTGCACTGATTCCGACAGCCATGACGTTAATTCCCCTCACAAGAGACTGGAAAGCAACCTCCATGCCGCGCCGGCCACCTGCTACAGACGACGTCCACGCACCAAAGAATGTGTGCAGGCTTGTCTTTACCATTGATCGAATAGAAGTGGTGGAGCAGAGCATACATGATGAATTTACTGCGGACCGGCTTGCCTCTATTTTGCACGATTCTCATCTTAAGCCGGCGGAACAACTGAGAGAGGCAGGCGGGGAGGCGCTCCAGGCGCCGCTGCTGCATCTTCGAGACGCCATGGACTGCTACCACCGTGCTCTGGTCTTGGCCCAGAAAGGACTTCTGTACCCGTATCTTCACGCACTGCGACCACCGCCTTCCATGGAGGATCGCATGGAAGGCGCGGAAGCAGATGATATTGAAGACGAGACCTTTTCATTCTTTGGTGACGCAGCGTTGCAGGAAGGAAAAAATATCACACCATCGAATCGATATCTAAACCTTCTTCTGCACCTGCGGAAAGGCACCATCGTTGGTTCCGAAGAGAATGATTTGTACAATAGTTCCTCTCTAACACATGGACGAGCTCTCTTCCCCCGTGCCCATGTGCTTCTACACGTGTGGTACGCCCTGCATCGCCAGGTGGTTGTGGCCGCAGCCAATGCGGCGCACACTCTTTTGTTGATACAAGCCTCTTCCACTCACTTGACAGATGCCTCAACGGCAGGCGGGTGCAATGCAAATACCCTGCAGCAGCGTCAGATGCAAGTGGCTCGATGGTGTGCGCGTGCACTGGACGTCCTGCATCGACTATTGGGGTGGTGGAACGGTGCATCGCTTCAGTGGACGGAAGAAGAATCGGCGTCAAAAAGGGAATGGGTCTGGGTGCACACCATCAAGTTTAAGCTACTTGTGCGTCAGGCAAAGTTACTGCGTGTCGCGGGATCCTTTGAGGAGAGTCAAGCAGTTCAGGATGTAATGGAGGAACAGCTACGGATCCTTCCCACGCAGATCCCGTTAAGCTGCCATGTGGAAATGGGGAGTGTATTGCAAGATGTCAGGTGCCAACTTGTGCAAGAAAGGACCCTTCTTCGGGAGGAACTGAACCAAAAGGGAAGGCTGATTCTTCGTTTATGAAGTTGTCGTTTGTTGCTTTTTATATTCATTGCAGGCAATTTTTTAGAGGAAGCAGGAATGAGCGAGGACGCTTGTTCTCCAGTTTGGGGACTGCCCTCATGCCTGCTCCTTTTGCCGCACACACACATCCATACATCCATACATTCATGGTGTATTTCACTCCTTCCTTTTATTTTTATTTTTGCTTCGGTGTATCCAGGTGGATTGGGGAAGACACTACACGCACACCCGTGTCGCCCAGTTCAGTGGGGGAGGAAGGTGGAGAGGGAACTCGGGACGCTGCTGCCCTCCCAACGCCTTGGTGCTTCCGGTGCTCCGCACCTCGCCCCGCTAGCTCTTTCTCCCATAGCCCCCACACCTCTCTCGATCGTCACGCATAGATGGACCGCCTCGCCCAGTTTCAGGCGGCGTGTGGCCTCATTTTGCTTGGCGGCGTGCCAGCGCCGGGGTCGGGCACTTTGGTACCCGCGCGGGTTACCGTCACGGAGCCCCCCTCGGAGCAGAGCTTGGAGGCGGCGCAGAAGTTGCAGGAATTCTACAAGTTAGTGGGCGACGTCGGCGGGGCCGTCGACCGTGTCACGACACTGACGCGGGAGATTGCCGCCAAGCACTCGGCGATCCTGAGTAACTTTGATGTGATGAAGAGCGACTCCATGCGGCAGGAGGTGGAGGAGCTGACGAGCCAAATCAATGCCTCCGCGCAGGCCGCCTCTCAGACCCTCGAGGCGATGAAGGCGGAGACGGACAAACTAAAGGTGACCCCCGAAATGGAGAGCCTGTTTGTGGGCGTGATACGCATTGAGGAAAACCAGCGGCGGTACATGCTGCATAGGCTGAGCGAGGCGATGGAGGCGTATCAGCGACAACAGAACTTGGTAGAGGCGCAGTACCGCACAATGACCGAGCGGCAGATAAAGATCAAGTACACAAACCCCGATGGCACCGCGATTGATGATGAGACGGCGAAGGAGCTTGCCCAGGCTGTGCTGGAGAACAACGTCACAAGCGGCATTTTTCAGCAGAGCAAGGATGTCTTGGCTCAGATCATCGAGACAAGAAATGACATCTATCACATCGAGCGCTCGATGCGTTACCTTAACCAACTCTTCAACGATTTAGCATTCCTTGTGCATGAGCAGGGGGAGATTATGGATGTGGTTCTCAAGAACATTGAGAGCACAACCCAATTTGTCGAGGCGGGCCGAAAGGAGATGAGAAAGGCACGCAAGTACAAAAAACGCAGTAGACGAAAAATTTGTTGCTTGGTGATAATCCTGGCGGTCGTCGTGGCTTTGTTTGTGCTTGCTGCAGTTTTGGGAAAGGTACTGTAGACAGGAATAGGCGGCAGGGGCATACAAGAGTCTGCGTCACCCAGCGCCATCATGCTGTTTAAGTGCGGCAGTGCACACATTCCCGCTGTTGTGGGTAAGTGGCGTTATCTCAGTCTCCGGATGTCCTGGTGCTGTCTGGCCTCTCACTATTCAAGGGAGGGGCGATTGTTGCTGTATTATTATTTTAATAAGTTCCTATGTGAGATAATGCGGTCTTTGTGGCGGGCGGCCGCATGTTGCCCTGCATCTCCCCTGAAAACGAAAAAAAGAAAGGAAAAAAAAGACACCACACACACACTCACTCACTTACCTCCACGCATGTGCGCCACGTTACACCTGAACACGCTGTGCTAGTGTCCTAATGAACCTTCAACTCCCGTTGCGCTGGAGGTGTACGAGGGACGCAAAGACGGCAATGCGCGGGCGACGTCGTGAAGAAGGATGAAATAAAAGAAGAGAAGGAGAGGGGAGGCGGAAACCAAGCAAATAAAAATACAATGCTAAGGAGGGGGAGAGGTGCCTTGTGTGCGTCTCTCCCTCCCCCCTCTTGATGCCTCTGGGAAAGGTGTGGTGTGTGTGCATGCGTGCACGTACATGGCCTGCTCTCTGATGTCGGCCCGCTTTGCGAAGAACAAAAAAAGCTGAAACGCCAAAGTTGTGTTGATACAAATAACAACAGCAAGAAGCTGCTTTTTCGTTTTTTTATTGTTGTTTTTTTTTCTGTGTCCGAGTGTTTTATCACGGAATCGTGCGGAACCTTCGCGTAAGTGGCGTGTTGACGGACCGCGCGCATGCGCTTCTCTGTTGCTGACTTTTGTTTCTGTTTTGCTTTTCATTAGACCCTTTTTTTTCCTCTCTTGTTTTTGCCTCTTTCGAATTTATGCGTGTGTTCGTCGCTGCGCGCAGTTTCCGTAACAGAGCGGTGAGGCTGGCCGGCACGCGGCGTGCGCAGCAAGGCACGTAAAGGGGAAGGAACGCGAGGAGTAGGCGCGAGTTAACTTGCCCTTCGCAGCTGCTACCGGGAGGAGGAAATGTTGCGACGCATCATTCACCCCACCGCCTCCGCGCAGGCGCCGCCTCGCTCTACTGCGTTGTCTCGCATTGCCGTCGTTCCTGTACCTCACCGCTCCGCCGCCCTTTACGCGGCGCGGCGCGGCTTCTTTGGCGTGCTGCGCCCCAAGACGCAGCATGTAAAGGTAGAGGAGGTCCTCTTTGACAAGCAAAGAACACATTACGCAGGCACCATCTTTGGTTTCTCCGCCGATGCCGTGATATTTTATGCCAAAACCGGTGCCGCCGTGTGCGCCATCCTTGTGGTTGTGGGCGTGTTTCTCAAGGGGTACGCCGTGCTTTCGCGCTTTAGCTTAGCAACGGTGGCCCGCTTAGGATTTATGAGTGGCTTTTTGTGCGGTGCGGTGCTTTACACCGTGATCCTGGCGGTGATTCGCCGAGTTAGGATCAACCCAAACGCAGTGTACAATCAATCCATCGCACTTGTCATGCGAAACGAAAAGGTTGTGCAGCACCTCGGCTCACACCCTCGCACGGGGGACTTTAAAGCCTACTGCCAAACTGGGGGATTTCGGCTTCCGCTCATTCGTCGCATCCGCAGCGGCTCCTATGAACTCTCCGATCTGCTGGGGCTGAAGCCAAGAAAGTTACAGATGATGTTTATCCTGCGCAACCCGGCGAACGGTCGGGAGGGTTTTGTGACATGCGACGTGCGCCGAGAGTCGACGGGATTTATGAGCTCTGCGAATACCTTCAAGTCGTTGGCGGTGACGCTGACGGACGCCGCCCACACCCCGGTGCCACAAACCGTCGTGGTGATTGGACGACCAGAAGACGTCGTATACCGTGGCCTGATGAAGCTGTAGAAACGATAGGATATCACGCAGTACACAACGATCGAGCGGGCGAAAGAGATTGAGTGAGTGAGCGGGTGAGAGAGAAGCGACACACGCGGAAACCTACACTTCTTCCCTCAGACACTTTTGTGTCTCCCTTCTGTGCGCCACGCTAGTGGAACAGCTGTTACTGAGACACTCTAACGTTGATCCTCCTCACTGCGCCATTGCAGTTGGGCCAAACGCCCCCACAACTTTTTTTGTTTTGCTGTTTTAATCACACACATATAGTTGGATCGCTACTATTGTCCCTAGTTACTTCAGCGCATGTCTCACTCATCCCTTTACCTTTTCAGCCCACATACGCACACGTAGACACACACACACACACGCATTATTATAAATATCAAGTAACATTTCTGGTTTTTTTCTCTCTCTTCGTTGTGCGCTCCGGTGAAACGTGTGGGTGTGAGTCGCTGAAAAGAAAAACGTTGACGGAACAGAAAAGTGGTGAATGAAAGAACAGCAAAGGCGTTGATGTTTCCGTTGCTCTAGTGGCAGCCAGTTGTGCACAGTGCACATATCCCTTGGCACTCCTTTATATTTATTTAGGGACCTGTTTTTTTTATTATCTTTTCCCCTTCTTCTTGCCATGTTTTTTTGTATATATTTCCGTCTTGTGGACGCAAAGGCGGATGGTTACTAGTGACAGCTGCCAGGATTTATGTTCACCCCCGCTGACGCGAGACGACAGAAGTGGGACGGCCTCCACCCCTTACAATTTCGTTTGATTTGTGCAGGGTTGCAGTGCCCCTACGACCTTCCGGCTGAGAGGGACCGACAGGGTCGGGAGGGGGGGTCGTCGTGGCTCTCCTCCTTGGTCACGTCTGCAAGGCATGAACCGTGCCATGAGAGGGATTTCAACGTTCTTCCAGCCGCCCTACACACGATGCCCGTTGAGGCGCCTGGGGAAACTGCAGGGAATAAGTCACGCCTCTCTGTGGCGCCTCACGAGGAGAAAGAAGGAGTAACCCGCCCTGTGGCACAGCCCCCTGCGGCCGGGGCGATTCAGCCCGCGGGTGACATTACACAGCGGGAGGTGGATACGTCTCATGTGGCTTCCGAACCCCACGACCCTGGCGAGGAGGGCGGTAGTCACAAAATAAGAGGGGAGCACAAGTGTCCCTCGCAGGGTGCTGAGGCCATTCCCGAGACAACGGACGCCGACAATACTTGTGCCATCAGAGTGCCTCACGAAGAAAACAAGGTGACACCCACGCTGAACCACCGAAGTGAGGTCCTCTCACGAAACGACCATCCCCCAGCGACTCGCAACTCCTGTAGTGTTGCTGTGGGTCCTGACGAAGCCAACAGTTGCAATAACGCGGCCACCGTTATGCCGGGGCACGACGATCGCACGGAGTTCATGGCATCGCCAGAGTTTCATAAAATGGATGCGTTGCTTTCAACCGCGGTAGAGAGTCTGTACTCGAAATTGCAGGGGGCAGCATTGAAGGTTGTTGCGCTGGATGGACTGAAGCAAAGGCTGGTTGAGGCCTTCCCCTCGCCTCGGAAGAGCGAGGCAAAGGAGGAGAACATGGCCGAGTTGGCAATTCACTTGCACTTACTCAAACGTCAGGTGAAGCTTCTAATAGACGCGTGGCGTGGACAAGAGGCGGCGCGGAAGGCTTCCGAGGAGCGACAGAGCAAGGCAGTCGTGGACGCGGTCCGCGTGGAAGTCGTCCGGGCCTATGAAGAGCCGCATGTGCCGTACAGGAAGGGCCCCTTCGTCGCGCTCGCTCCCACGACGCAGCGCCTGCGGTCGTCCACTAATAAAGCGGCACCGACGTCAGTCAGCGGCTCTGGCAGCACCTCCGCCAGTGGCTCGGTGCTCTCCTCCGCGCGGCCAGTTGAGTCCTGCTCTGAGTTCTCCATCGCCTCGGCGGTTGCGCACGCGGACGAACTCGAGGATGAATGGAAGCTTGATGGGGCGAGACAACAGCAGCGATAACAGACATAGAATGGGACGAGGGGAAGGAGGAGGGAACGGCGGG